GAAGACGTTACCTAGCCGGGTAATGAAACGTTTGCAAGAAAAGAACCAAGCCCAGAGAACCCCAAGGACGCCACAGTTAAACCCTGAGCTACACATATTCGCCTCTATTGGCAAATCATATACGTTAGACACCAGTCACAGCTTTTCCTAAGGTGCGGTCCACCAAATTCACGGAACGGTCTGCTGGGAATCCGGGAGCTGCACTTCCACAGGTCCGGATTACCCAATCACAACCACGTCCATTTCGGTTCACTTGGATTCAAACTTATTGGAGAGGTACAATTAAACCTGTTCATTGCTGACCTTACTTTCTAATCATGTTCCCATCCCGCGTTTCTCTGGCGGAATAACAGCTATCGCGTGCCACTTAAGGTGCCTTTTAACACAGCCCAATTTCCTGTAAGACCTAAGATGAGCGCTTTCAGCCCGCCTTCTAAGTCTCGGAACTACAAGTCCCACAATACTCTTCGTAGCGACGCATGCTCATATATTCTATGGATCCAAGATGGCAGACCCGGGGACCGGTGGTTCTAGTACCTTCAGCACGGTAAGGGTGGATCCCGGCAAATGTTTTCTTTTTGTGGTACATCCAATACGTTAAACAAGTTGCAGTCGTGTGACCGAGTAGCCGCCTCGGGCTCAGCTCGCAGCGTCTCGGTTGGGACGGTGCGAGGTCCCGAGCGGAGGGAATTTCTGTTCTGCACCGGAGAATCTCTAGAGGCGGGCGGTTTACGATTTGCGGGATCCTTTGATTCTGATTGGCTTCGGAAACTGCCTATCCACCTTTCAAACGATTCCGAATTGAGGGACGGAATTAAGTTGTTCTTCGGGAGGTCTCCTTAGTGTCTGCACAACGTGTGATAATCGCCTGGCATGTACGACGGTATCACAAATGTGCACACAGGCATCTGAAATCGGGCACAAGCACGCATAGGAGGCCAAGACTTAAAATGCATACCTTTCCTTTCCTTTCCCCCTCTTATTTTGCTAGCTCTTTACACAAGCGTTATCCACCTGGTGCCTTCCCGATGTGTTTGACTAGTTCTCATCATCGCAACAAGCATAGTTGAGAGCAATTGGAGGTGTAGTTCAACAGATCAGGAAGGTACCAGGTTGGAGAAGATTCTCAGTTTGCAACAGTTCTTTTATTCCCCAAACTGAGGACTGATCCTCCCTTTCAGCAGAAATTCTGCTAGATGTAATGCTTGACCTGCAGTAATGTAAGCTCTGCCCCTTTTGGACATGTGTGAAACATCATGGTGCATGTACAAAAGGGTGAAATTTAGAATTAGTGTAGGTATCTTTGCTGTTCCTTTTGGTACATCCTGAAAAGAACCATACATTTTCTTCAGATTGCATAGTAGCCATATGAGTTTAGGAAAGTACAGGGTGCAGCAAAAGTCAGACCCTGTAGGCCAGTCACAATATATTTTATTTTTATTGTTTTCAGAGAAAATTACTCTATTTAGCAATGTTCAAAGGTCATGCATCAAATGAGTAAGGAAGTGTTTAGAAGAAAATGACAACCAATTCAAAAAATGATTGTAAATTGTATAAGAAGTTGTCTATGTGGCCTGACTTTTGGTACACCCTATATGTATCAGCATTTAGGAGGTGGTAGAAGAGTGGTGACATATGGTCGCAAACCCTGCCAAATATCTCTAAGCTCAAAACAAGTATTTTGCTGAGCCTGCGAGGCTACCATGTAAGATCAGAAAAAGCTGCAGCTCCAACAGGTACAAAGAAGGTGTCCACGCTAGGTCCAAAGGACCTCTCATTTCTTTGGATCTGAATACTGTACATTCCCAATGTGTTCCCTTGCAACTTTTTTTTAAGTGTACCCTCCATTCTAGAATGAGAGCCATCAGCAGAGTTGTCATAGTGCTGACTTCTAGTGACTAAACTGCATGGGTATTTCCATTACCTTCTAGAGTAATAGATCACCTGAATCTGGTATGAGAAGAGGGGAAAAAAATGATGCTTATTGTAGCAATGTGTTACGGTTCTTATTTCAGGTTCATGTATGAGGAAGAGAGGGGCATTTATCAGGGTGACTGTTGCCTTCTCTAGTGATTTGATGATATCTCATTCAGTAGTCATCCAATGAGTACCTTGCTCAGTCGTGTTAATACTTGGTAATTATGGAGAACCATAAAAACATGGCTCTTCAGAAAGGCATAAGTAAGATCCTGCTATCTCCAAATGGTACATTGGATTGATAGTTTGTAATTCATTGATTTTTGTTTTTAATCTTACATTAATACTGTGAGCAGTTCAGAATCTCTGATATTGGAGTGGTGTATAAGTTATATAAACAAACAAAGTTTGCAGCTATAGTCACTGAAAATCCTGTTAAAATTGGGTTGTGAGAGAATGGCTGGGTTTTCACATCAAAAGGAGTCTGGGAGCACCTATTCTGACTAACAGCAGCTCATGAAAGTGTATGCCTTTTAATAAAATGTTAGTTAGAAAAGGTGCTCCCAGACTCCTGATTTTTTGCCACTCGGATTAACACATCATCTCTTACAGTAGGTTTTCACATATAGCACTAAACCATAATTGGCTTTGCAGGAGGATAGGGTTAATAGGATGTGTAAATACACCCATGATGGCTTAATATTATGTGCAAGTTAATCCATTATGTCTTATTCAGCAAATCATAGTGAAAAATCCTACTTTAGTGTGATATACTGGACTATTGTAGGCCAAGGATCTCTTTGGTTAATACTAAAAGTCACTCAATAGTTACTGTTGTTATATTTTTTGTGTGCTTGCTTCATTCACCCTGTTCTCTTTCAACAGCGATCAGGTAGTAAACATTCTACAACCCCAGCAGATAATTACTATCTGGCTCGAAGAAGGACTCTCCAGGTGGTGGTTAGTTCATTGTTAACAGAAGCTGGATTTGAGAGTGCTGAGAAAGCTGCTGTGGAAACCATGACAGAGATGCTTCAGAGCTGTGAGTATTCCCAATTATGCAATAGTGGCTTAAATGATAACGTTTTCCTGTATGAAATCCATTAGTGTTTGAGAAAACAATCACCCAAAATTTAGTGAATAACAAACACAGGCACTTCCACTCTCTGTAGTTCTGCTTATTTTGTATAATATTTTTTCTTAAAAATTACATTATACAGATAAAACTAATACAAACTACAAAAGAGAAAAAAGAAAAAAAATTAAAAAATTAAAAAAGAAAAGAAAAAGAAGTAACTTCCCTCTTCTTTCCAGCAAGTATATACAACAACTTATCACCATCCTTTAAAATACAGCAATCTCTTCACCCCAATCCTCATCTTCCAGCCTAATCAGCAAAAATCGATTAAGGGTTACCAGAAGTAACCACATCTTTATTAAACTTAATCTAATAAGCCCACAACATTTCCTTCCTTTAATTTATATCTCCTTTTCTTTTCTTAAACAAATCCCCCAATTCTCATTAATCAAATAGAATCAATAAAAACCCAATAAAAGTACCAGAAATAGTAACATAACTATTATAAACTTTATCAGATAAATTTAAAATACAAGAAGTAATCCCATAGAGCATTTTATCATTAAAACAAAGCCTAAAAACATCATTTTCCTTAGTTAGAAAAAGAGTAAAAAGTTGCCAGAAATAGAATTCTCATTCATAAAAGCAAAAAGTTAAAACATCTTCCAGTCCTAATTTAAAAAATCCATTAAAAATTGCCCAAAATAACAATGCCCTTTCTATTCTAACCTTAATCAAATAAGTTCACTTTATATTTTTTCTCCTTATTCCCAAAAATGTCAAGCCCCTTCATGTAGTACCCTGTAACAGTTCCCTTTTGTAAATCCAATATAAAAAGGTTGTATAAGCCATTCTTCTGGGCTATTATTCACAAGTTCTTTTTGATTATTAAAACATCAGTCGGCTTTATTTGTAGGTTCAGTTTGTCTTGTTCCATATCCTTTTTTCCATACTTTTTCCATATCATCTTTAAGTCCACATTTAAGTCAATTTCATTCTTGTCCAGTGGAACTTGTTTCTCTTCCACAACATCATCTAATCTTTCAATAATAGAAATCTTTAAAAGAATCTTCTGAATCATTTTTTCATGCACCATTCTCCATGCATCCATTATTTTATTTGCTTCTGGTGTCCTCTAGCGTCCAATCTTCAAAACAACCGATCACCTTGTTTTTATTCCAAAGAATGTAAACATCCACAGTTTCCCATGGGAAGGATTTTATAATTAATTTGCATCTTTTATTCCAAATTCCTATGGACCCTTAGTCCATTTTTAACTTTCCAAAATCAACACTCTTACCACCCTCTTGCTGTAATCCAAAAAATAATGTTTTTCCAATCCTTAAAATCATATTTGAAACTTCTTTCACTAAGGAGAAGATGATTCACCCAGTCAATACAGTAGAAACTTGCCAATCTGAAGGGTCTTAATATTTCCAAAGCAATAAAAAGATAATCCAGAAAGTGATTAAGAGATGAGGCTTGGTCAAGCTTTTTGTTCTTAAAAGGCTGCATTATAAGTATGAGCTTAGATGGTATTTTCCATTGACTCCCAGCCACTCAACTCATAAACCAACCACAAAACCATGATTTCTGTGGTCTATTTATGAGGAGCGGCTGTCCAGAGTACATGTGGGTTATTTCAGCGATTTCTCCTTTCTCCGGAGAGATTTCGCCAGTCCGGATCTAGCATCCAGCCGCAATTTTCCTCGTAAATGCTTTCCCGCTGCAAGCAGGACATCAGCTCGCCGTGGTGCTCATCAGAAGTTTCTGTAGTTCTGTTTATTTTGGAGTGTCTTGAAAGGAAAGGATTCAGCAGTGTTGGCTACATCTTCAGTGATGTTGCAAAAATAGGAGCACAGTTCTGCATAGGAAGGCAGACAAGGCATATGAGAAGACTGAGCAGTCTTCCTGCTCCATCTTGTGGGAAGCCCAACTTCAGTTATTTTCTCTGCCAGAACTTACTTTGAAAAACTTGAATTCTTTGGTCAATTTCTTGACGTTCTTATTTAAAGGAAGGAAACAGCTGTGGTCTTCTTTTGTCTCATAGATCCCTCAGGAAAATAAACTGAAGCACCTGGTTGTTCACACTTCTGTTTGTTGGTGGCAAATGGATACCGGGCATTTGATCTTCTCCTTACAAATGTTCAGTGTATATATTTTTGGGAATTTGTAATAGTAGGAAGTGTTTCTGCCATTTAATAACTTAAACTGTTGTAGACTTGTTGGATCAGAATGTAGAACAGAGTTTCTTTATTTGTGCTACTATTTTTATAGAACAATTATCTTTGTTATTATGATGAACAAAAATACTTATTATGAATAATCATGGAATCCATAGCTTGCCTTACATTTCTGTGAGAGCATAAGAACATCTCTGATACGTATCACACCAAAAGGTTATCTAGCCAACATTCTGTTTCCTATTCAGACAACTAGATAGCCTGCTAACTGAAGCTGACTCCTACTGTGGTTCCTTAGTAGCTAGTATTTTGAAGCTTCCTGCCTTCGATTGTAGAAATGATATATAACCATTATGATTAGCATCTATTGATTACCTCTTCCTCCATGAATTTGTTCAAGCTGCTTTGAAAGTTTCCCAAACTGGTGGAATCATTAAATTTTTTTAGACATATGTTCTAGTATTGTATTTAATAACAGACCGTGTATAAAGTACTTCCTTTTGTCTGTCAGATGGTATACAAATTTAACTAATAATAATAACGTTAATAATTTTGGTTATTCCTCTGTACCTTTCCCAAGTCTACAGTGTGCTTTCTAAGTGCAGTAACCAGACAGATATTCAATATTCCAAGTACAGCTGCACCATAAATGTGTATAGAAACACTGTGAAATAGTTTTATATCTGATCTTTTTTGAAATTGTAGTTAAGATACAATTTATTTCACAACTGCTGCATACTGAATCAATCTTTGCTGTGTTAGTGTTTTCATATTGACTATGATTGTAAGTTTCTGTTCCTAGTTAGTTACATCCAGCTCAGATTGTGTGTGTGTGTGTGTGTACACGCACACATACACATACATAAAGTTAGGAATCCTTTCACTTTACAGTGAACCATATTTTATGTTTGCCTATTCATGCTAACATCCATTTTTGTTTAAAGTCTAGTTTGTTTGGCAGTTCCTGAAACGTAAAAATGAACCTCTTTGGTCAGCCTTTCTTCTTTTGTGTTTTCTTTAAGGACATATCTTACAAAGCAGCAAGACATTCATGTTCCAAAGTACTATGAACAGGGACATTAGAATACAGCAGAATATAGCAGTTCTATCCATATCCCTCTTGCTTGGCAATCTAAACACTGGGGAGGGTTGATGGCTTTTCAGAGATTCAGTTTCCTTAATTCAGAATTGGGCTGATGTTGAGCATGTAAGTGACTCTAGGTTTCAAACATACTGTAAGTACTGTGGTGATTTCTCTTTTGTCAGATATTTCGGAAATTGGGAGGAGTGCCAAGTCTTTTTGTGAACATACTGCAAGGACTCAGCCAACCCTTTCAGATATTGTTGTCACCTTAGTTGAAATGGGTAAGTGCCAAGACGGTGGGTTTATTTTCACGTTCTTGTGCTGTAGATGCAGGGTAGATGTGTAACTATGGCAATTGATATGGCTTACCTACAAAGGATATACAGTTGGTTTCTTCAAAATGAATCCTAGGTCCACTGGATCAAATCATGAAGATTAGCAACCAGAGGATTTTGGGGAAGTTTGGGGTGCCTTCACTCAGGGGTCTTTGAGTCCCCCTCTAAAGACATCCTAGTCCACCCATTCCTCCTCTTTTTTCTGAGCAGGATAGCTGAATTATGCTCATGTGGGGTTTTGGAGACAGAAAGTATGTCTTGCAATGCCCTTTATAAAATTCAATGTAAATGCTTATGTAGTAATATTCAGTATGAAATAAGTTGTCTTACAGATATTTTTCTGTGATCTGACAAAAGTGAGAAGAAGCACCTGAGTGCAGATAATCTGCACATCACTGTTTCAGAGCAGCTGAAGACAACATAAGTCTTTTTTTTGGTTTGGTTTTGTTTTCAGGCAGATCCTATTTTGTGATTGACTTTATACATGTATATTTGTTTGTATGTGATTGACTGCATTCTTAGGGGATCCATACCTACTTGTCAGAACAGATCGATGTACAGTGGTACCTCTAGTTACGAACTTAATCCGTTCCATGACTCTGGTTGCAACTCGAGTTGGTCGCAACTTGAGGTAAATTTTCCCATAGGTTTCAATGTAAATACGGTTAATCCGTTCCACCCTCCGAATTTGGTCGCA